AAAACAGTGATATGAGTGTAATGGATGAGTTGAATGTTGCATAATTAACTTAAATTTCTTTAGCATAAATTTTCTTAGTCTTAGTGTACTGTAATTTATAATTTTCCTCAATTGTTATGTTAAAGAATTGATTATTTATAATTTGTAATCATGCCTGCAACATTAAAAAATACTCCATATACTAGAATAAGAAAATTTTCAGTATTAGAATTGTAATTTTTTGAAATATTTTGGGTGGGCGCCAAAAATATTGGATGTTCCCATATGCCCAGTTTTATAGTTGAGAAATAATGTGTCAGTTATCAGAGCTACAAGATGGATTTCGACTTTAGATATTTGATGTATTGAGTATTATTTCTAGCGACCTTTGTATCCCACCTTCTATTGCTCTTATATCCTTGGAGGAACATATACTCAAGTTGATACATTACCTGCTTAGGTAAAACATGCATTTAGGATTATTCTTTGCCCAATGGATAATATGAATTCAGAGAAGCTATTTTATGGAGGTAAGATTGAGGTTCTGTAGTATCGATATACTGTAGTATAGATTATTTTCTAAACAAATAATTTTTTTTTGGCAATGTACATTATGCTAACAGGCTGAAATTAAACTTTGATTTTATTGGAAAAAAATATCTGTAACGGCGGTTCCTCAAAGCAGAGTGAAAAAAATTATTGCCTTATTTTTTATAGTTTAGAGCGAGGTTGAACACATGAGATGATCTGTGGGGTATATGAGGTGGTAGGTTTGTGAATTAGGTGGTCAACAAGATTGTGAATGAGTTATGAATAGAATGGTATGAGTTTACAACAGGATGGACCAACTAGAAGGTTTTGAAAAAGGTAGTATATTAGTTTTGAAAGAGATCTATTTGTCTATGATGAGTTTATGAAAAAGATAATGATATATTCGTGGTTGCTATAGTACTGTTGTACAAACAAGACACAAGCGTTGACTTCAGCCTGTGTGTGTGCTGTAGCGTTGACTTCAGCCTGTGTGTGTGCTGTGTTGTTTACCTTTGTGTGTGCATTTTACTGAACTGTGCTTAAGGCCCAATAAGAAAGATTATTAGTTTATCAACCTATCAGTAGCATATCTAGGGGGACGCACTCCCCTCCGAAAATTACTTGCGCACTCCCCACCAATAAAAATCACTTGCAAGTAGTTAAAAATCACCTATCACCATATTTTGGGAGTTAGCGCCTCTAAACTGTTTATCAAGCGCCTAACATTTTTCATATAAATAATGTTGAATTAGGACCAAGTAATAGCTGTCTCTTATACACATCTAGATGTGTATAAGAGACAGTATCTGGGCTGGAAAAGTGATGAGGGAGAGAGGCTTTTTATTTTTTATTTTGTTGGATTGGATTGGATTTATTCGGTGTAAACACCAAGGATAGCCCACGAAAGTCTAGAAGAAGACTTATTTCCAGTGGGGTCCTTCTGGTGGTGATTGGACAGTACACCGGTAGACAGTCCCCTACTCTTTTCCGAAGAGTGTACTGTGTTCTTTAACGTGCACATGGGCCATAAATGCACACAGGACGAACGGCTTAAACGTCTCATCCGAAAGACGGTGCGCTATGTAACTTGTATTTCAGCCCTCTAGCTGAAGCACAAGGAGAGGCAGCGATGGGAATTGAACCAGGGACCTAGAGATCTCCACGGTTC